TATGAATTTTTCTTCCTTCTCGATTATGAGCTTCCTGAAGGTGGGGACCAGGACACTTATTTTTGTGGACTGAGAATCTGGTACTTAATAGATACACAATAATAAATAGATACATAGTCAGGAAGTCACTTTTGGATACCTGCTGAATTGTATCTGTTGAGTCTTACCATTTTCTCAGGTGTCTATTGGCATTAAATTTTTGTGATTCTACATCATACCCTGGGGATATACATATTATTATGTAGTTCATTGAAGGTGGCTCCATGGACCATCTTATAAGTAGCGAGTTAAATTGCCTGTGCCTTGCTAAGTAGGAAAAGTCCAGTTGAGTAACAAGACAATGGTGAAACATTGTAGCATTCATAGCTTTCCGAAATCTATGTGTCTCTTGGTGGTTGAAAGAAGCTCCTGGGTTTTGTCCTTCTCTGTAGGATTTAGTTATGGTTTTTGTGGGGATACCTTGATAGAAACAGCCATGGGGCATATTTATTTTGTGAGACTTTCCCACTTGCTGCCTCTCCACCACACACCACTGATGACCCAAACTGAGTACGAACATGGGAGGCATATGAGGTCATTTGTCCCCTCCAGCAAAATAAATTCCCCATGAGTGGATATAGTGTCACAATGATATGAAACGAACTTGGCTAATGTTTAGAACCATCTGCCTGATGTTTTATTATTTCGTATATTTATTATTTAAAAAAATAATCCCTAATATGAGAATCACTCTGGAGAGCAGCCTGGAAATGAATGTCACCATGAAAGTAAATATCAGCAAAAGATGGTCTCCTGGCAGTTGTGAGTGGCCAGAGAAAATCAGATCCATTCTGATAGCATGCATACATTGAGTCTCGGACAGACAGACATTCACTCTTTCCTCTGTCCATGTTCCCTCAAGACAATGGCCAACTCGTATCTGGCACGGAGTGTTTCCTCCTGGGTTTTGCCTAAGCTCCTGCTTATTATTTCTGGCACTTTCTCACCAAAGCCTCGTGGTTTCAGCCGCAGGATTTGGCCAGTGGCTCTGGCCAATGGGTGTAACTGGGTTGACCGCACATATGGAAGGGTTCATCTGTTTATCATAGAAGCACCCCGCAGTGGGTCTGCTAACTTTTTCTTTCAGAGCTGTTTTTGCTGAGAGGTTTGAAGTTTGATCTTTTCAATTTTCTACTGGATTAAAACTCACCAGTAGGTTTTAATTTTTTTTTTAATTAAAATCATGACTGGCCCAAAACTCTCAGAAATTTTGTTTGGAAAATAATTTTTCAAGGGTTTCAGGGAAGAAATAAAATTGACTTAGACTTCAGAATTCTCTCTTGTGGGACTGAAATCATTAAGTTCACAAACACTTAGTCATTGTGTCACTTGGAGGGGATGAGCAGTGACTTGAAGGAGAATGCATTTTCTTAAAAATTTATACCAAAGCAACTCTGCACTCTGCTGGATAAGCTTTTCACAGTGTTCCACTAGCTTATGATTTTGACTACATCACCCTGAATTGACCACAGACCTGCTCCTTACTGCCTAAAGACAGGACTTTGAGAAGGCCTGCTCTTCTCATTGACCTGAAAAAAAGATTTATATCAATATTTCCCACTAAATACTACAGGAATTCGGCAGAGGCATTCCATTGCATAAGGATAGGAATAAATCCTGGTATGTTCATTTCCACCGAAATTCACCATTGCAGCTTTTAGTTCCACAAAGAAACCGTAATAAGCATCCTGGATTCTGAACACCTACCAAGGAGATCCTGGGCCTTCTGAAAACTTCCAAACTCCCTGAGATTCCTTCTCTTTCCATTTAGATCTTATACTTCCTTGAGTGCTTTTATAAGCCTAGCTTATTTTTGCATCTCATATTATAAAATGAAAAAGTTCCTAAGATAATTAATTTACATCTTAAAAAGTGAGACCTACTAGGCACTGAGCACCCACCTTCTCACTTTCATTTTATTATTCTCTTCGTCCTTACCACGTCCCTCCACAAGGAGTCATTACCCACACCTAGCAGATAATAACGTATAAGAAGCTCCAAAATTTCATACACTATCTGCAGTCACAGAGTAGCCTGAGGAACTTAAATTAGGATTTCTGTTTGTTTAACTCTAGGTCATATGCGTGTGCTCTTCTGGAGCATGTGATCTCCACAGATTCAATATATCAGGAATGATTTCTCAGAACTAGATTAACATGGGAATTTTTGTTTTCCTATAAGAGGGACTTGAGCAAATTAAGGGACACTCCCATAACTACATTCTTTTTATTCCTATTGTTTTTAAAATCCCCTCCCCTCCTCTGTGTTCCTGTTAAAGAAAAGAGTAACGAAGCTTAGTCTGGAGACTCTCTTGTATTTATAGGAGGTGATCTTCGTCCTTTCATATAGGACTTGTTTTAAAGACTCATGATTCCAGTTTGGATCATAAATGTTTCCCCAAGGTCACATGTTGAAGGATCAGTCCCCAGCTGATGGCAGTGTTGGTTCTCCCTTTGGGAAGTGGGCCTAGTGGAAGGAGGTTCGTCTCTGGGGGTGTGCCCTTGGAGGGGATATTGGGGCCTATGATGTTTTGGATCTAGAATGTTCCCTCAAGGCTCGTATGTTGAAGGCTTGGTGCCTCACACAGCAATGTTGAGAAGTGAGACTCTTGGGAAGTGACTATATCATGAGGGTTGTAATCTCACAAATGGATTAATCCATTGATGGATTTGTAACTGGATGGATTATTGGGAGGTGACTAGTTGAAGGGATTGTGTCCTTGGGGACTACGTCTTGTCCCCAGCCCCTTCTCCTCTCTTTCTCTCTCTTGCTCTCCCCACTGCGGCTTTCTGACCGTCATGAGGTGAGCAGCCCTGTTCCATCCTGCCCTTTCCACCATGATGCCAGGCCCACAGCAATGGAGTCAGCCAACCATGGACTGAAACCTCTGAAACTATGAATCAAAATAAATCTTTCTTTCCTTTAAGTTGTTTTTCTCAGGTATTTTCTCACAACAATGAAAGGTGGTCTAAGACAGAACCCCAACCTCTTCCTTACTTTTTTTCCTCTCCTTTCTGATCACCATGACCTGAGCATCTTTGCTCCATGATATGGTCCTTGATATGATGTTGTGCCTCACCACAGACAGAAAGCAATGGAGTCAAGTTACCAAGGACTAACACCTCTGAAATCATGAGCGAAAATTAACCTTTCCTCCTTTTCAGTTGATTTTCTTAGGTGTTTTGTCACAGCAACAGAAGGCTGACTAACCTATCTATCCATTTTATTAAAAGGCACATTTCTGAAAACAATGCTTTTTCTAATTTACAACTGTACATTAGTAAATATATTGGTTTGATCAATTGTCTACTATGAGTAGTGTGACCAATAACTTAATCTGAAACAATTATTTAAAATTTAGAGACTTATAATCATAGAAAATTTTTAAAATCTCTAATTTCAATTTTATATGTTTTCAATTACAGAGAAATATAGTGATATAAACAAAATTAGAATTTCAAGATTAAAAATACTATATTTGAATAAAATATATAATGGATGTAGAACCTCCAGTCCTAGGTATATCCTGAACTTCTACTTTAACTGTTCACAGTGATCTCTTTTCCTTTTGTGATGATTTCTCAAATTCCTAAGAATTACATATAGAACTTAAAAAGAAAAATCCGTTCTGGAGCCCCACCTTTTTCCAACTAAATCAGACTCTTTAGTGGTGACGCCTATCCATGTTATTTTTACAAATAGCATAGATGATCCTGAGACAGACAGCCCCACACTCCTTCTTGCCTGGGGAGATATTTCTCCAAAAAATCAAGAGAAGGGGAGATAGGAATTAAGACAGCTGCCTTTTCTTATCTTTCAGCATAAAACAATGAGGAAACCTCTACACACTGTCTGTTCTTCCTTTACTAGCCAGCTAGGGGAAAATCACACACTTTTTATTTCCTTCTGTACTAGATCAGTAATTAATTCCTGAGTTAAGTGTTGAAGGAACGTTTAATTGTGGACTGGGAAACTTCTTTCTAAACCATAACACCATAGCAGACTGTTTTCTGGGATGTTTGTGAGAATGGAAGGATGGTGTTTGAGATCCTGACCTGAGGCCAAGGAATGTGCCTAGGAAGCATCCCAGCCCCTAGAATACAGTTTCTGAACCTTATTTTAGAGTCCCTGTGATGAACTGAATGTGTCTCCCAAATTCACATGGTGGAGACCCAGTATCAGGTACTGTTACAGCAGCACAAAACAGGTGGAGCCCTTATGTCCTGCCCCTCATCGATCTTTGTAACTTTTACCCATGTATTTTACTCAGCTTTTCACTGCTGTGGTTAAAGGATCTGACAAGAAAATAACTGTAGAGGAGAAAGAGTTTATTTGAGGTCTTATCCACAGAAGACCAGCTCCATTTCTCAGGGCTCCAGGTGAGGCTGAACATCATGGTGGGAGAGGGTGGCAGAGGGAAGCAGCTCACATCACAGTGATGAGGAAGCAGAGGAAGAAACTCCACTCGAAAAATACAAATATACACCCAAAGCCACGCCCCAAGTTCCACTTCCTCTAACTACACACTACCACTTCAGGTACCACGCAGTTAGTCCCCAGGAGGGGTTGACTGATTGGGTTAAGATTCTTACAACCCAATCATTTCTCCTCGGAACCTTCTTGCACTGTCTCACACGTGAGATTTTGGGGGGACTCCTCACATCTCAACCATAACACCATGATACAAAAGCAACCATGATGGGAGAGGAAGAATTCAATAAAGCCATTTGAAAGTGGTTTTGAAATGCATTTGAAAAGTTAAGGGTTGTCTCGGAGAACAGAGCATTTTTAAAATTCCAAATTGATGGAAAAGAATAGCAGCCAATGTGCATCCATAGGTGTGTATCTGTGAGTTGCCCTGGAATTGTGATCTCTTGCAGTTCCCAAGGTTTCTCGGGACCCTCAGTGTTCCTGTTGTTTGTCAAGAGCAGAAGTTCTATGGGCAAGTCCACTGTTTGGTGACTGACCCCAAGGTTCTGAGGGTTGTTTTCCTTGACTGCACAGAACTCTAGCATAGTAACTAGATATAAAGTTCCAGTCCTGGGCTGTCCTGGGATTTTCTGAGTCTTAGAACCCCTCTGTAGTGTCCGCTAGTCATTTAGGACCTTAGTTGCTGTGTGTTCTTAGTAGTGTCTTTATCTAGGGATGACAACGACATCATCCTATTCAGCCAGGAAATGTTCCAAGCTTTGAAGAAGAGCCCTGCCCTCTCTACTGAGCTCTGGCCCCTGGAGCAGGTTTTCAGTAGGTAGTCCCATTAATTAGTCCAAATACTGGACCAAGAATGGTCTCAATCCTGCCTGAGAGCGTGAGGATGCTCCTCCACAACTGCTCAGGGTAGAAGATCGCCTTGGGGAATGGAGACCAGCCGGTTGGTTGGGGCTTTCCACTTGAATTTCCTTTGTCACTCCCAGGAGGTTGGTGGAAGATGAAGTGTGTACTCAAAATCATTATAGGAGGTTATATTCTCATCCAGAGCGTATTAAAACATTTGTGTGAGCAATTACTATTAGAGGTTTCCTGCTGAGATATTCCCAGGTGCTAGAGGAGTTGACTGACTTTCTAGGAGAAAACACATTGCTCACTTTAATAAGTACAGTGTCTTTATCAAGCTAAATTTTTCATACAGTATTATAAACATACAGAAAGCACAGAGACTATAACATAACCCACATCCATTAGGCAAACAGACACAATAAAGTAGCAGAATACAGTAATGGATTGCAGATGTAATTGAAGGCCCTGGGTCGCTCTTCCTGGTCCTGTTTGCCTCTGGCCTCTCAGAGAAAGCACTGAACTGAGGTAGGTTTGTTTCTTCCTTATGCACCACCATGTTTTCATGGTATACATGTATTTTTGTGAAAAAAAAAATGAAATGATGAATGTTTTGAAACTATATATGTGGAATGATTTGTATTATCCCCCTCATTTTATAACACTTTAATATATCTGCATATAGTTTCATGAGTTGAACTTTATTTTTCTTTTTCACTATAAATATGTATTTATTTGACATTTTAGCTTTTTTGTAGCTTTTCACTATTATAAAAATTATAAAATCAGTCTTTTTAAGCACTTCTTGTGTATGTGGGTACATTTCTTCTAGATTTCATAACTAGAAAAGAAATTGCTTTATCAAAGCCCATTTTTATCAGGTCAACTTTACTGGGTCATGAAACTTCCAGTACATTCTCCTCTGAAAGTCTGAGAGCCCCCTTTGCACTTTTAGGTTTATCATCCATCTAAAATTAATTTTTTTGTACTGTGGGATACAAAAATCATGATTTTGTTAAACTAGGGATCGTTAAATTTATTAACTGACCTATCATTTCCCCACTGATTTTATTCTACTTTGGTAGTTACTAAATTTCCACATTTCGAGTTCTCTGTTTTGTACCATTATTTATCTACATCTGTGCCAATACCACATGGTTTTAATTACTTCAGTTGCATGATTAGATTTGATATTTCATAGGTACCGTTTTTCTTGAAAATTATCTTCGTTTTTCGTGGCTCCTTCTTCTTCCATATGAATTTATTCACCATCTTTTGAAGTTTTACACAAATTCCTAGGATTTCGTTGGAATTGCAAAGAATTATAGATTAGTTTTAGAATACTTAATGCCTTCGGTTTGTGGAATTTCTTATGTATATAGGAATTTTGTTATATCTTGCAATATTATTCATTTCCCAATCCTTGCCCAGTTGTCTTTGGATATATTCCCGTGTACCTCAGGCTTATTTTGTTATTGTCATTGTTTTTTCCTCATCACTAGAATTTATTTTACTGCTAATAATTCAGTGAACCCTCCCAGTCCAAATCCTGTGCCTTTCTTCAACTTTAAAGAAATTTTCATTGTTCCTTTTTTTTTTACCTTAGTTCTTTATTTCAGTAGAAGTGGGGCTTCTTATGCTAATTCTCCATGTTCTTATTTTTTTTCAAGCTATTTGTCTTTTTTCTCTTGTTTTAGAAGCCTTCCCTGACCTCATCTATTGAATAATTAATCTGATTTCCAGCTATGTTCCTTCTAGTATTTGGTCCATCTTTGGTTGTTATCATTGTGGTCCTCATTCACTTTACTTTCCAAGAACTCTTCCTTCTCTCTGATTGCTTTTTTATATTAGCAAAATTTTCTTCTTTTTTTGGATCGAACATATTCATATCCTTGAGGGTGCTATTCAGAATATTTTAAAAGTTCTCTTGTGTTCTCTATATTATTTGTTCTCCTCGGGGTCAGGTATTCTGTTTGTTCATCTTGATTTTTCTCTTCTCTGATTGCCTTATTCTTCCTCAATCCTATCAATCTTCTATAAATCTTTTAGGAATTCCTTAAGTTTTCTGATGTACTTATTTTACCCCTCTCAGGTTTTGCTGAAGTTGTAGATCTCTTCTTAGTTAAAAGTCTTTGTTATCTCATGAATTATGTTTTTCCATAATCTTGATCCAAATACCACGGCTCCTGTTTTGCAACAAGAAGATTATGAATGGCCTTGGTGAGAGCAGGTTTTTAATGGGTGGTGGGAGGGATGCAGATTTTGGAGGAGTGAAGAGTAAGGAGTGCATCATGAGAGCCACAGCAGCAATCGAGTGAACAATAGCAGCATTTCCAAGTTCATAATCATTTGAGATAATTGAAATGGGATGTGCACCTATCTGTATAATAGATGTAATGCAAGTACATATAATATTTCAGAGGAATTGAGAGCTTGAAGTACATGTAGCATATGTTTCATAACAGTGGGAATGGAGATCTTATACAGAATATAGGACACAAGAGGCTGGAGGCCCTACCTCCAACAGCTGTTCAAACAGAGATTTGTTAAGTCACTTTGAGTAAATTATTTAACCTTGTCTATAGGATATTATTTCCTGTCCCCTGCCCACCTCAAAGCTGCTCTGTAAGGATTTATAAGCAAAGTGCTTGTATTTTTTATTGAATACAGATATATAATCTTTCAAGGCTGTACATTGATAAAGCTTTGCTTGCTTATTTCCACCCTGAAAATACATTCTCTAGGACATTATATCTGTGAGATTCCTGGCCCAGCTGCCTTATAATAAGCCGAGTTTCATTGTTAAAAAGATTTCTGAGCTGTAGCCCAAACATTCTCAATCAGAATTTCTATGGCTGGGTCTGATAATCAGCACTTTTTATGTGTGAGTCTTATACCCACCGAGATTGCAGGACACTGCTTTGGGGCAGAGAGCTCAAGATGTTTGCCAACAAAAGAGCTGAATAATTTTCTTGGCGAGTTCCACTTATTTCTATGTCAAAGGGTAACCATAGTTTAAATTAGGAAAGTGATTTTTTTTTTAAAGAGTATAATTAGGATGCTCCTCAATGACAGTAATCAAACTTTTTTGGGGGAAAATTAGCTTGATTTGAAGCATGCGTAGTAGATGATCATATCAAAGTGTGAGAAACTGTCCAACATTTCGTTTACTTTCATTTTGGGGGTTGTTGCTACCATATCAGATAAGAGTGTTTGAGGCAAATTTGGATATTCTGAAAAATTATTGAATCCACTTTTTTTTTTCTGATCCTCCTCTCTAGAACATAATGAGTAAAAAAGAACTTAAAATCTCCCAGTCCTTCTGTCTATCATGCTAGACAAATAATAGAAAAGAAGGAAGAAATTACCTTAGACACCTCTTTAGGAACTGACAAACCTTCCAATGAGCCTTTTCAGTTAAGAAACCTGGAGACCATAACAGCATAGACAGAGGAATTCCTGTTAGTTGTAACCTGGTTAATCATTTGACCCAGGATTTTGTAATCAGGGCTGCTTTACCCTCTCCTCTGAATGTCCCCAGTGACATGACTGAGTTCCCTCTCAGAAGAGAGAAGCATTGGAGGATGCTTCTAGATCCCCTTTGCTCTGTTCCCACCCCTCCTTCCTAACTCAGCACCCTAACCACTTGATGCCTGCTGTGAAGGTCTTTTAACATTAAAATAAAAGCCATAAATTCGGTGCCTATGTGTCTTGGTGAATGTTTATTACGGACTTCACAATTTTGGTTCTAACACAATTGATTCTACTACCTCAATTGACTGAAAATCTCTTTATTCTATGAGAAAATTTGTTTCGGGAAATGATTATATTTAATTTAGTGTGTTTATTCTTTTGGAACCTATTATGGAATCTGCATTCCACTCTTTTACTTAATTTTTCTTTCACCAGAAGAATCAATAGAGTCTGGATGGAAGATACATTAGTATCCTCCTATCTATGTTCTTGTCAAGATCCTTAAGAAATATGCTAATGAGACAATGGATATTTTAAAAATCACTCTTTGATTTTGAACCAAAGCCAAACAATTCACTAGGCAATCATCATTATAATAGCAAATAATTACCACATGCATTGAGCCAAGGAACACTGCAGGTCTTGTTCCTTTAAGGCTTCTACTAGTTATAGATGAAAAACATACCTAGGAACACTAAAAGTGTTTGAAGTGGTTGTCATTATAGACAAAAGTCAAGTGCATTTTTTTTTAGACATCTGGAAGCTTCTACATTAGTTCTTTTTCTGAAAACACATTATTGGAATCTCCAAAGAGCTAAATATTCATTAAGTGTGAACTTTGATTGTATTTCCAAGAGTTAGGACAAATATTAGTTAATCAAAGACTTGATTTAAGCATTTTCCCAGGAGCTATTCAGAAGAAGTAAGGAACAAAGCAGGTATTTTCATTCAAAGTAAAACACAGAGTTGAAGAGACCTAGTAATTCAGAAAGAGTTGGTTATTTCAGGCCTGAATACTAGCCTGTAATAATTAGCAAAACCTAACATCTGAATGAATCAATCACATCTTTGTTTTCATCTTTCAGTAAAGGCAATGAGACCTTCTTGGGTCTGTGTATAAAGGAGGTAATTATTCAGATTCATTTTTTTTTTTCCCAGCCCTTACTCTCCTCTTCAACCTTTCAGTAAAAGTTTTGGGTTTTTCCATTGTTCGTATAAACTCTATCAAATAATGGGCAACTCAGAGGGGGAAAAAAAAAGCACAAATGCAATCAAACAGGAGGCTTGCTAACCCAGGAGAGGAAAAAAAGAATGAAAATCTGGCTATTTGGTGACAAATTGCATTATACATTTGACAACAATAATGTTCATTTTTTAAGAATTTTTTTTTTTGTGGCTGTAGATGGACAGCATGCCTTTATTTTATTTGTTTCATTTTTATGTGGTGCTAAGGATCAAACACAGTGCCTCACACATGTTAGGCAAGTGCTCTGCCACTGAGATGCATCCCCAGCCCAATACTGTTCATTTTTAAGTTGCATAATGATTGGATGAATTGTGAACTCCTTCATGTACTAATCACGTTTCATTTTCCACTTTTCCTATATGAACTTGCTTTATGCCTGGCACACACAAATTCTTTCATAACCATTTTCTGAGTTAAGTGAGATTTTACTACTTCTTGTTCTTAATTTAAGGGCACATTTGCTGCCTTAGGTGTTGAGAATGGATGTAGCTCTTGAGAAATGAGAAATCAAGAGTGAATTTTCCTCTCAGTACAGTGTTGAAAGTCTGAGTTTCTGGTGATTAAGCAAGTACCATCTTTGAATGGTTTAATGTGGTAAGAGGGATTGGGACAATTCATAGGTAACAATGTGTTTTGTTTGAAAACAAAGTGTATATTCATATTAGGAAAATTTCACATAAAATTTGACTTCTCTAGATCTTGGGAGATTAGACTACCCTTGGTAATAATCCTTTGGAGATGATAACAGGCCACTCTCTTGTTGCAAACTCATTTCTCCTGTTTCTTATGTTTCTGTTAATCTGATATT